TCCAGGCACCGCCCCAAGCACATGCTTGGTGGGCTGGTGCCTGGAGTCGGCCCTGGGTCAGAGATGCAATAACAATCCCCTTGAGATTACAAGCTATGCCAGTGTGAGATCCTATGGATGGGCGATCATTCCATATGCTACCAAGATCCAGAAGGAGGTCTCATCCCCATGAAATAACAAGGGCCTCATCCTGCTTCCATCCCCAACAGACCAATACTGATTTGTAGGAGAGATCGCCAATTCCCCAAACCCAGAGACAGCATGCCTGATACCCCCAAATCCCCTAACAGTGATGCTTGGAGCCACATCCTCCCGCCCCAGGGAGAGGAAACCTTTCAAAAATCCCTATCTTGGCGCTCCGCTGGGAATAAGACTGCTATGCAATCTGTGTCACAATCCTGATGCAATCTGGAGAACACATAGAAGTACATCTCCTTCCTATGAAGAACTCATCAGCAATAAGATAACCTTTCAGAACACTATCAGGACACTAGATCGTAACATGCAGGGAATGTTTTTGCTATTTATTTTGATTAGTAAAAGGGCACCTAACCCTGAGCTCTCACATTTCAAACAAAACAATTGTAAAAATATGAAAAGATCAGAATGAAAAACAAAATCTAACTAATCGGCGCCTACAGAATGTAAACAAGACAGCTAAGCACACTTACCAAAATATGCCACCCCCACACCATAACACTGCTGCTTCTATCTAGTGAAGAAACTAGTTAATAATCCCTTAGACAATCTGCACTTCAAAGGGGTTCTGATCTCCTTACATATAATTGGGGTGCTCTGTGCACTCCCAGGTTCCACACATGGAAGGAGAGCAGAATGGCCTGGAAGACATCTACTGTGCACACTGGGGAGGATAAATGCAATAACTCTTAGGGCAGCAAGTGAGTTCATTTGTGAAGTTCAGCTACATGGGTATTTTACAGTTATTTACAGAACACCTGTAAAACCAAAGTGCTGGGCAAGGGATACTAACCACTGATCTCAAATATTTTAATGTGCCTATCTAGTATTAAAAAAAAAAAACTAACAGAACAATGATCAACAAAAAAGACACAGACCTGACCTGAGTGACCAATGACTAGCAAATGAAAAATTAGGCTACAAAAGGAGAGAACCTCAATGCAGTTGAGCAGGAGGTATTGAGATGGCACTGAAAGCGATGGAATAAGAGGAAATGAAGAGTGTTCCGGGAGGTGGTCCAGGGAAACTCATGCCAGGAGGGAGAATGCAAATATTTAGGGAGCAATGGCTGAACTTCAATGGGCCAGTTAACATGTATTAGATCCACACAGTGGATCTAATACAGTGCCATGCAAAGGGGAGAGGAAAGAGACTGACGGGAAGAAGCTGTTTGCAGTGCTGTTGTAGCCATGCAGGTCCCAGGATATCAGAGAGACAAGGTGGGTGAGGTAATATCTCTTATTGGACCAACTTCGGTGTAAGCTCAAACACAACAGAAGTGGGTCTAACAAGAGATATTACCTCCCCCACCCTGTCTCTCTCAAGAGGCAGTTGGATTCAGTTTAGCTGGCTCCACCACTTTGGCCTCCATGTCAAAGCCACAACCCTCATGAGAAAGGAGCAAACTGACAACAGGCTGCAGAGTAAATCCAAACATCAGCTTGTAAAGCCTGTGTGTATACGCACCATGCAGCGCAAAGGCCTCCTTGACGGTGAAAGGAACCCCCAGGAAGGGAAATTTTTCCTGCAGGGAATCTTCATCTCCATGACCTTCCGAGAGCAGTTTGTCAACATGGTGGGCCTCTTGAAGAGCTGCATCGAACCTGAGGGGAACGGTTGGTAAGGAGAGGGAGGGGAGAGAAAACTGGTCAGTCTCTGACTGGACTCAGATGAACCCCCAGTCCATCTCTAACCAAATCCCAACCAACATCTGAGTGGGCTGATCAGCCCTTTAGATGGGGGTGGTCAAAGAAAGAAAAGGACGTGGTGAAAAATAAGTAGGTTAATGTGTTAAAAGCAGATAGGTTGTAAAGGAAACAACATGAAGCAACCCATTACTCATTTCTCTACCCCCATCACTATCCCTTCACCATAGTGAGCCTTTCTCTGGCCAGCTCCTGAACAAGGGAGGGGGTGGGGAGTGAAGACAAAGGACCAGGAATCAGGAAATCTGGGCTCCATTCCCAGCTCTGCCACACACTCACTGTGTGAGCTTGGCTGAATCCCTCATCTGTAAGACAGGGGATTTGGGGCAATAAGTTTATTAATATTGGTATAATGCCTTGCGATTCTCAGAAGAAAAGAGGTATATGAAGTACAAGGCAGATTGCCACCTTATTTCAATACTTTTACAGATATAGATCAGGCTGCTCCCACATAATGAATGACAGACACACACCAGAAATTGGTAACCTAACCAGTTCTACTTTTTTCAGAAAATAATTGAACACTGTATATGTCCTATCTATGCAACATCTTTAGGGTAGACAGACCTGCAATTAAATGCATTCACCACTAGGTGTGATTGGTCCCCAAATATCATAACATCCATTCATCAATAGCTAGAGATGAACTACCCCAAATTTCTGTGTTTCTTCTGCACGTGAGTCTGAAAAAGGGATGAATGAACTAGTCCCAACAAAGTAAGAACCAACTTGAACATAGATGCAAACCCTGAAATGAATCAGCTACCTCTGTTTCCTAGAACCACTCGGAAGCAGCAGAATACCTGGGAGAGACGCCATGCTCATGGCATTTCCAGCCTCACTGGAATTAGAAAGTACAGTATTCTCACCTGGAAGCTTGTGTTTGCAGGACTTCTGTGACTCAAGTGACACAGAAAAGTTCTGTCCATCAATACTGTAAGTAATTATTCAATTAGAATAGAGAAGTAAGATAATTTACACACACACACACACACGTCACAAATTTTAAAATGATTAGACTGATTTAAAACTATTCTGGATTCTGCCTGTGAAAGGCAAGAAAAAAAATCATTCATATTTTTAGCCTCTTCCTTGTTGCAAAGGAGTACAGGGAGGATAAAGAGAAATGGAGCAAATATAAATAGCTGCAAGAGGCTCAGTGAATTCAGGGCTGGTATAAAAAGGTATAAGGTTGATAGCCCTGAATCCTCTATTTAACCATGGAAACAGTGAGAACATGCTGTGAATGTTAATTGTTTAAACAGTTCTCACTGTGTTTTATGAACAGAATGGCCTCGGTCTTGTATTCCAACACTTCTGATCTGGAGAATGATCACTGATAGTTACATATTACTGGAACATGTATGATCCATTAAGGCCACAGTCACTTGGTCAAGTTTAATTACTTGCTAGGTGTATATTGCTTATAGTTACAGAAAATGTCAGCAAAGAAAGTATGTACTATGAGCAAGAAGAACAGAGCTCCTCCACCTATCACAACCTCCCCAGGACTCAGTGACAATTACTTTCACCTAAACTATGGGTTAATCTTGCAATTCTAACAGATGATTGAGGCATTCAGCACTGATTCGTTGCATAAGTCATGTCTGGTTGACAACTCACTCGGTCCTAACATACCCCCTCCCCCAGCAAGCATGACATGGGGGGTGGGGGAGGTGATCACATTTGGAAAGGTGAAGAACCTCACATGGAGGCTGGTTATCTTGCCCTGTTGCCAATCATGGCTTGTAACAGCTGCTAAACTGGACTCTAGAAAAGTCCATTTCCCACCTTTCCCCTGGCTCACCTGGCCTTGACAACTGCATTGACAAGCGGATTTATCTCCTCAATCCTCTTGATATAAGCCTGAACAACATCAGTGCATTTCACCTGCAAAAGACGATAATAACAGATACAACTAGGACCGGGTGGTTGGACAGAGGGTGAGAGGGAGGCTGCTGGTCACCAGGATGTTCGGGCAATTAGAGATTTGAGAAAAAGAAAAGAGGGAACTAAATTACTACTCTCCTGGGACTGCCTTTCAGTTCCCTTGAGCCCCTATATCACAGTTCACTGGGTGGCGGTCACTTACCTCCTTCACCGCTTCACTTCCCCCAAAACACCCATGCATCCCAGTAGCCATTTCCCTGGAATTCCCATTCAAATGAATAGAAAGTCAGGATCTCTCCATTGCAAATTCAATACATAGGGATCAGCTAGCCATTATAGAAATGCAGCCACCACGGCCCCTCGATACAGATCACTTAGGAACCCTACACCACGGATCAGAATAAGAAGCATATCCAGCTTAAAATGGCATGGGGAATCGGTGGAATGCAGTGACAAGAGATGGAATTTAGCCAAGACACTGAGGTTTACACTGCAGTCTCTGGATGTTGCACTGCTCTTGTTAGGGTGAACCTGTCACTTCTGCATTGTATGTTGACACATTCCCCCATCAAGGCATGCCTCCATTGAGAATTATATGGCAGGTTCACTTCCCCTATACAGAATTCCCAAAAGTCCCTCGTCTCTCAGAACTGCCTATATTTCAAGGATTATTCTGCCCAAGTGGGACTATGTAGTGTCCTGACCAGGAGAAAGGGATGGCTTGTTTTGCCAAGGCCAATCAGCTCATTACTAGAGGAAAGAAGAGGTCTAGCTGTCAGTTTATGGAATTCATATGTTCCACATGATCAGCCCTCCAGACAGCCCCTCCTCCCACATACTATTGAGTCAACAGACTGATCATGTCAGCCAGGTCTCTTTCTCCCCAGCAGATGTTCAGGATGATCTATCAGACAAGAGGAAGAAGAGAGAACTAGTCCTTTCCCATAGGAGAGTGCACCTGGATGGCTCCTGGCCAAGGCAGCCTGATCTGGGACCTGGTGCCCCTTTTGTCTGTATTCTCTTCTGGTGCTGAGAGAAGCCCAGCAAAGGGATGAAATGGGGCAGCCCTCACCCCGCACGCATATACCCCATCCCACAGTACACACCTGGCACTGGGACTCCCACCTGTTACCCACAAAGTGCAGCGCCAGGTATATAGAGGGTGCCCCCCACCCCAGGCAGGCACGATGCCAAGCTATAGAGAGGATCTCCCCCACCTCAGCGGGGCAGGAGGGTGAAGCGAGTGTATGTAGCGGGTCCCACCCCACACACACCCGGGACAAGAGAGGGCGGGGAGCGCAGCGGGTCCCCTCTACCCCGGGGCTGCCAGAAGGGAGCGGAGCGCACAGCGGCCACTTCACTGCGGCGCACGAGGCGGAAAGCTAGGCAGGGAACCCAGGAGTCCTGCCCTAAGGGCGCCCCTCCCGGGAGGCGAACTACAAATCCCAGCAGCCCCCGTCCCCCCACTCTCACCTCCCGGCGGCGGATGCGCCGAGCCAGCTGCCTTGCAGACAGCAGCAGCAGCGGCTGGCCCGGCGGTGGCACACAGCGCGTGGGGGGCGCCCCGGCCGGCGGGGGCAGCGCGGGTGGCTTGGGGGCGAGCGCCGCGGAGGCGCGCGCCGCCAGGCTCAGCAGCACGAGGAAGGCGCGCGACAGGAGCCGCAGCAGCAGCACAAGGCAGCGCTCCGCGCGCGACAGCGCCATAGCGAGGCAGGGGCAGGAGGGGGACCCACAGTGCAGTGCGCGGAGCCGCCGCCTCCACAGTCCGCAGGCTCGGGGCGGGGGGAGCTGGAATGGCACTGCCCCGCGGGGCGGGGCAATAGGAAGCACACCCCCTAGGGAGGGGCGAGTGCTGGGGCACTGCGGGGAGGGAAGGTCACAGTCGAGGGGGGAGAGGTGTGTTAGAGGCTTATCAAGGGGGGAATCCCCAACGCTGGGCAGTACCCACCGACTATCCCGTGGTCAGCGACACCTTTCCTCCCCACCCCCCCCGCAGCCATGGTCTGCTGCCAGGGCAACCCACACACACACACCAGGGACAGCACTGCGGTGGCAACCCCCCGACCAGGTCTGGCACTGCTGGAGTCACTGCCCACCCCCACCCACGTGTAAAAATTCTGTCCTAGCCTCAAGTCACGCTAGTAACTGAGAGACAGTATTGCCAATGCTCAGATATTACAGCGAGGAATGCATTATAAGAACCTAGACCAGGGAGTCTCAAACAATTTACCTTAGGGCCAGTGACAGACCTCAAATCCTCCCAGCGAGCCAATAATGTCACTGAAGACGGTGATCAGAAAAGAAAATGTGTATAGTGTATGTTTATTTCGAATTTCTTAGAAATAATAAAACTGTTATACAACTTTATACAATTCTCTGCATGCCAGAGAGTTTTTAGTGTTTGCCAGACACCTGGCAACATTTCAGTTCGGTCAGTTTGTTGATGTTTGGCCTCAGTGACTGAGCAGTTGAAAACTTCAGGATTGCAGCAAGGTGTGCATCATCAGATAGTTGTGTTCGGTATTTTGACTTGTTTATATTCATTGTGAAAAAAAGTTTCTCACAAATGTAAGTACTGCCAAACAAGGACATGATTTTTCTAAAAGTTTTGCAAAGATTTGGGAAAGATGGTGGTAGCTGTCTGAAGAACTCTGTGACATCCTCAGTTTTTCTGAATTTAGTCTTTAAAGATATGTTGCACTGCATATCAATGAGTTCCACTTGTAAATCACATGGTGCTGTTGCCACATCACCAGAAAATGGATTAGCAAACATATGAAGCTTTCTTTGTGCTTTCTGAAATCTGCAACCCGCTGATCAAATTCTTGCAAAAGCAGGTCAAGCTTATTAGTGTATTCAGAACCACTGAACTGTATTTCAGAGCCCAGCTCTTCCACAAGTGACTTGCATGCTGGGAAATGAGTGAGATTCCCCTGAGAAATCTGATTTGTCCACAATTTTAGTTTAGTTGTGAATGCTCTCACATTATCATACACTGCTGTCACCTAGAGTGACCAGACAGCAAATGTGAAAAATTGGGACAAGGGGTGGGGGGTAATAGGAGCCTATATAAGAAAAAGACCCCAAAATCGGGACTGTCCCTATAAAATCAGGACATCTAGTCACCCTACTGTCACCACCTGGCCTGGACCTTGCAGCTTCAGGTTTAGGATATTCAGCTCTTGTACTACATCAACAAGGAAAGCAAGATCTGTCATCCATTTGTGATCTTCAAATTGTGGTACAGGCATTTTAATTTCTTCCATGAATCTTTTCACCTCTGTTTTCAATTCAATGAATCTCTTTAAAGTAGAACCCCTGCTTAGCCAGCGCACCTCAGTGAAGTAGAGCAAGTCACCGTATTTAGATTCAATTTCCTCCAAGAAAGTACGAAACTGTGCTGCAAGCCCCTGGAGCAAATGGAATTCACACATTTCACAACAACGGACATGACATTGTCAGATTTCAAAGATTTACTGCACAGTGCTTGTTGGTGAATGATGCAGTGTAACGCTATTGGTTGCTCAGCATTTTGCTCGGCCATCTTTCTTTGTGCTAGTGCTACCAGTCCGGTTTTTTGCCAATCATTGCTGGGGCCCCGTCAGTGGTTAAGCCTGCTAACAAGTGCCATGGCAGAACACGTTGTTCCAGTGCTTCTTTGAGGCAGTGAAAAATGTCACTGGCCGTTGTTCTACCGCGCATTGTTGACAAGCTGAGCAATTCTTCAGTTACTGCAAAGTTTTCATCAACGCCTCTCACAAATATGGCAAGCTGCGAACTATCGGTCAAATTGGTACTCTCATCAAGTGCGATTGAATATGCGTGGAAAGCTGTGCTTTTCTCGATGAGCTGCCCATCGATATCTTTAGAGAGCTCAAGAATATGCTCTGCTACTGTATTTGGAGATAGGAGATGTTTTCAGCAATATCATGGACATCAGGGACATACAATCTCATTGACTTTAATAAAGCATTGTTTAATCAATTCACCATCAGTAATTGGCTTCCCACACTTAGCAATCATTTCACTCATGACATAACTTGCCAAAACTGCTGATTCTGACTCTTTTCTCGCTTTCTGAAAAAGCTGCTGCTGCTTCGCTAATTCTTTTTTCAATTGTAAGACCATCTTCTCTCTCTCTTCTCCCTGATATTTATCATATTGCTGTGCATGTTTCACTGTGTAATGTCATTTGATATTGTAGTCTTTTAAAACAGCAATTTTGTCTTTGCAGACCAAGCATGAGGCAGTTTGTTTGTACTCAATGACAAAATAATCAACAGTCCACTTATCTTGGAATTGGCGGTGTTTGTGTGTGTGTGTGTGAGAGAGAGAGAGAGATGGGTTATTATTATCCCGGCACAATGGGTTATTATTATCCCTGTGTGACA